ATTATATTTTATCAAAGGAAATCGAAACCCAACCCTCTTTGTCGGTATCTGTACCATCTAAATCTCAAACAATGACTTACATAAACTGGTATGAACTAAACCGAAGATTAAATAAATAAAGAATTCCCAATAATCCTCGTAGCTACTGAATTAGAGAATTATAATATTAATTAAGTTGGTTCAAATTCCACTGAACTATTGTGTAAGAAGCTTACATAGATCAGATGGGATCGAGAGACGGATCAAAATGGTAATTACATGAACAGATTTAGTTCTGAACGTGTCTATAAGGCTAAGGACTCACGATTTTCTCCCGCGCGACTGCCTCGTTGGCCGAGTGGTCGTAAGTACGACTGCCGGGCAAGAGGTCTCGGGTTCGATTCCCGCGTCGGGCAAAGTATTAGGTTTTTAAATATTCTCAGTAGTAGCACGGAGTCTGGAATTGTGCCCGGTATATGGCAATAGGCTCACCCCCTATTACATGGGACTCATAACAGAAATAGTGAAAAGTGGGTGTAACATTGTACAGTGGTATAATGTGCACCTCTGCCTACCCCTTCGGGGATAAAAGGCGTGATGTTATGTTATATGTTATGTGAAAATCAAAGCAACTTTTCTGACGCGTTTTACAACCGCGGCGGTTGCGGTTATTTGTGGCTGCCGCTGCATCGGCGCGATCGCGGTCCCTGTCCCGGATCTGCAGTCGGTTGGCGGGCGATCGTAATGGGACGGCCGGTCTGGAACTCAACAAAGTCAAAGTCAAAGCATTTATTTCAATTAAACCATAGTTTGGTGCTTTTGAAACGTCAACAAATACAAAATAAATAATAGTCTGTCAGTCAGTCCGTCAGTGAAACTAGGTGAAGCTAGGTGCTCATTCCAAAAAGTGGATTCGAATGGAGAAGAACGAGCAAGAAACTCCATACTTCATACTCCAACTGATTGTTTAACCGCCCGCCCGTCTTGTGATAATCAAACACCAAGTTTGCAGGCAATAATCGCAGCCACGGCGGCTGCCGTACCGCAAAAAACTGCGGTCTCCTTTGTTTTGAAAATAAATCTCCATTCCGCAACTGCGGCGGGTGCAGGAGAAGATCGCATCGTAAGTCTTTAGCTTAAGACTTTCAGTAATCCCTAATCAAATTTTCGTTTATTTTGGGCAAAAATATATATTACACTAGCAAACCCGGCGAACTCCGTTTTGCCACCAGATGTCTTCGTTTTATGTAACATTTCGTTCGGTGATTAAAAGATGAAGAAACATTTTTTTTTGTTTATATTTTATAAACCTCTCGGAGCCCGAGACCTTTCCAACGAATGCAACACCGTGGAAATCGGTTCGTGCGTTCTGGAGTTATAGCGTCAGGAAGTAAAACCCGACTTATTTTTATATAGTAGATAATATTCATGCTTGTTTTGGTTGTTAGCGAGCAGAAGTACTATGCCTTAAAAGGGAGATACTTTGATACATCATAATCATTAACTTTAGGAAATGTAATTACTGGGATTAGATAGTCTGAATAATCGAAAAAATATATAAGACGTGTTCACTTAAACTGCATATATATGCGACTGGCTTACGTGGCGGGCGCAGCCGCCTCTAAGCATGCTCACATACATAGCGTTTTCATTATTCCTGCGCACATACATATATGTTGTCCCTACAGCCTATAAATGCCCACTGCAGAGTAAGGCCTCTTCTCACACGGAAAAGATTTGAGAATTAGTCACCATGCTTGCTCAATGCAGGTTGGCATACAATTATGTTTATTTGAATTTTCTCTATTCTGCCAATAGTATCACTTTTACCTAGCGAATTGGTGATCACATTTTAAAAAGGTTTGAGTTTATCAAAACGCGGTACTCAGTCTCTTTACTGACGGTAGTGTCGCGGAGAACCTAACGGGTTACCGGGGCTCCGGCTCGACGTGCAGGAGAAGGAACAGGGTGGTTTTTAGTCAGTAAGAGTCTGACACGCCCTCCCGCCTCACCCAGCCGGGAGCAGCCATTCGATGATTTTTCCCCCTTAAAAAAAAAATACTGACGGTAGTGTAGAAAATTACTTTTAAAATCTACCTTACAATTCTGTCCTACCAGTTTAGTTAAACGAGCGTGTACACTCAACCGCTCGCTCGTTACACAGGAGACCGGCAACATAAGTGGACAAGTCTTCGACACAAACCAGGTCTAGTTCAGAAAATTATGTAAGTGAAGTACTCGAGAACTGGAGAAATACACTACATAGGTACCTACCTATTAACTGTAAAATAAAAATGGTTCTATTCTTATTGAATTTATCAGATTCAATTCTTTAAATTGTGCTTAAACGTATTTGCAATTATCATCTGTTAGTATCAAGTTATTGTTAGGGATAAATGCTTATCCATAAACGACTTTTGGCAAATTAATTATTATGTTTATCGTAATTTGACGAGGAACTCGAGTAGTTTCAAGCCATATAGAGGCTCATATGCATAAGCAGCATTCCGTGACCCGCGACGCGCTGACTGTCACCTAGTCGCAACTGGTCGAGTTTCTCGTCAAATCATTATGTGAGTAAGCCGAAAAACATAATGATCTTTGGCTAAGTCTTTTATTAAATAATAAATAAGTAAATACCACCGCACCTAATCCCAAAAGGCCGGTAACGCACAGGTGTCCATGGGTGGCGCCCATTGCTTACCATCAGGTGATTCATCTGCTCGTTTACCGGCTAAAAAATAACCTATGGAGTTTCTTGCTCGTTTTTCTCCATAGGAATCTACACCTTGGATTGAGCAAATAGCTTCACTTTTGATTTTTTGTTGACGTTCAAAAGTGCCTTTCTGGTGTAATTGAAATAAATAATTTTGACTTTGACTTTATTAAAACCGACCATTTTAACAATAACTGTCAAACTCATCTATTTTTATACAATCTCCTTTGATCCGCTGTTTATTTGTAATTTCGCAATAAGTCAATCTTAGTTCTATCTCAAAGTCTTCAGTTGGTAGATTTATGAAAATATTTATGTACACACAGTGTTGTCTAAGGTTAAACATTATTTACTCGCAATTCCCTGAAGGTGATATATTTTTTATTCTGTACACAGTCGTCCAAGGCTTATCTCCTGTATAATCAGATTATATGTTGGAGAGCGGTTTTGTGGTTTTTCTACGGAAAATTAAACGTTTTTTCGTACATTTTTGCTAAGATATTGTTTTGTGAAATTGTGACGTTATAGCTATTTTGGTTAACTTAATAGGATAAACAATCTATGTTACTTTTTAGGCGACCGCGTCAATTACTTTTTCATTAAATTTTAAGCTTAGTCAAAAATAATTCGTCGGACTATAATGAGCAAAGAGCGAATGTTCGTTCTTAGTTTTTTAACTAAGTATAATAGTGATTCGATTCTATACTAATTGAAATTGTATGAATTTTAACGATACCACAACTTTACTAACTAGTGGTCACCTTGTAATGACAATATTTTTTTTTTATCAGTCACCTTGACTGGTTGTATTTTAATTTAATAGAATGTACCAACGGATCAACTGATGGTAAGCAATCGGTGTTGTCCATGGACACCTAAAACACCAGAGGTGTTACAAATGAGTTACCGGCTGTTTGAGGATTAGGAATTTAAGGATTGTTGGGGTTCGGGGATTAGGGAGATTGGGAAGGGGATAATTGGGACTCCGGTAACCTCACTCACACGACGAAACACAACGCAAGTGTAGTTTCACATTGATTTTCTGTGAGGCCGTGGTGTCAATCTGTCGAGCCGGCCCATTCGTGCCAAAGCATGGCTCTCTTACATTTGATAATAATAGAACAACATAATTTATTTATAACTAAAAAACCCTAACAATAAAATATTACATAAACAAAGTCCTTAATCGCTTGTTTATTCTGGAACCTATTAAAGGCAATTATGTACCGACGTCATAATACAATGCCATCAATCATTTTCTGCAGTTTCAAACTGAAATTATTTTGAAGAAAGTTTGACAACAATTTGGCTGATCATTTTGCCAGGCCATTGTTGGCGTTGAGTAAAATAATGGAAGCCGGGATAAATAAATAATTTATTGAATAAGATTATTGTTAGGTACCTTTTTCGTTAGATAAATTCTTTAAAAAGATGAAGGCTATGGAATTTTGTAACAAAGGTTGCATGCTTGAACTTGAATGTAATTGAGAGATAGGCTTTTTAAATCGGTTTTCTTATTTTTTTAAAGTGTTTTCAAATGAGGTTTTCAATCATTTAATTAATGCGAGAGAGTTATTATTTGCCACAAATGGGGCGAACTAAACGATGCGATATGATGGGCTCACGGAAAACCGGCATGAAGCATCGCATAACACACCCACTCCCTCCACTGCGCCCCCATCTAAAGTGCAATAGTAACTACTTACAAATCAATAAATCAATTCCCAAATTCTACCACAAGTGACATTATTGTTTCATATTGGATTTTAAATAATCACACACATTTAGACCTACTTTGACTAGCCTAACTTTAGCACAATATACATAATTTACCTAACCACACCAAAAAGAAATCCAATATGCCTACAACATGTTCTTCAAGAAGGGAGTAAATAGGTTTTTCAAGCGTCGGCAAGGCGCATGTAATGCCCCACGTGTTGTAAGCGTATACAGGCCACGGTAACTGCTTATCCATAGTGGGCCGTGTGCTCTTTTTGCCACAGTAAAATCCCACGCTATACAGCCTTCGTTGACAAAATCTTATTGCTTCTAAACCTTGAATGAAGCCTTAGTTCCTTAGCACTAGTTTACACATGACGTCACATTCACATGTTCAAGGAACTCACTCAATTATAAAGCAATCAAACGTTTGCGTCTGAGCAGGCTTGAGTAATTGATTGATCTTGTTATACTCGTATATGCCAACCAGTTAATTTAAAGGCCAAGGTATTTTGTATATTGACTTTCTTGTGTGGAGTTTATAACGGTACATTGATTCGGTTATTCGGTTCTAAGTTTTCGTATAATGTCAATCAGTATTAGCGTTAGTACAAATTATAAATTGTTTGACTGTCTTGTAAAGTTCAAGAAGGAACCCAAGCAGTTGTATTTTGAATTATGATAATAAACAGTAACAATGGGTTGCTACGTCAGCTACGCCGTAGCAACTGCTACGTTTGCTACGAATGCTACGTATCTTGGTGCGTAGCCAATTTTGTAGCGTGTAACTTGCTCAAGACAGTTTTGAATTATAGTAATAAGTAAACTGACTTGATACAAATATATTTTTCATCATATTTATTATGTTAATCATACATATGTTTATAGATATGTTTGTTCAAGATAATCCAAATATTACTAGTTATTTAGTTATGTTACTGTTTAAAAAAATCTATTGCAAAATATTTTCGTTTAATCTCATTCCTTTTGTAAATATTGAACACTATTCAAGGCTCAATATCGCTACTGATACTCTAGAAACCTTCAAAGCACTTTTCCTCAAACAACGAAGATCTTAAATCACATAAACTTATTACTAGACATATTACTTGAGCTAAAATTTCAAGGCAACCTAGCACTTACAAGTTGAGACCTAACAAGTGAATGTACTAAGTTATGTGCACTAAGTTTCAGTAACCGCAAGACAAGACAAGTATAACTTTGACTTTGATATAAACAGTGAACTTTATAACTATCTATTTTAGCTAAGTAACTAACATGGTCTATTGTTTCATTAATTTACTTTAGTATAAAATGAGATATAATATATGATAGTTTGGTTATATGGTGGTATGTGCGACTAACGAGCAGGAAGTTGTGGGTTTTATGCACAAGTCGGGCAAAGTGTGGGAAAGCCATGCTTCGGCACGAATGGGCCGGCTGGACCGGAGTGATACCACGACCTCATAGAATACCGACGTAATGCAACGCTTGCGTTATGTCTTATCGTGTGAGTGAGGTTACAGACGGCCCAATTACCCCCCTCCCTTCCTCAATCTCCGCAATCCCCGAATTCCCAACAATCCTCAAATTCTTAATTCCCAAACGGCCGGTAACGCACTTGTAACGCTTCTGGTGTTCCAGGTGTCCATGAGCGACGCCGATTGCTTACCATCAGGTGATCCGTCTGCTCGTTTCCCAGCTTATGCCATAAGAAAATAAGAAAGATATTATTGGAACATTTAGTTTTAATTTTTTCTGGTAAATGGCACAGAACTCACTCTCTGTTTCTGTATGATATACACACTTATCACATCAACAGCCTGACCAAAGACCTCTTCTGACACGGAGAACCTGACAATTTGAAAGGTTTGATCAAGGTAATCAACAAAAATAATATCGTTATATATCTTGACATATGTTAAAAGCAACAGTAGCAATATTACAATGAAACGTATAACTAACAGATCTGCCTACCCAACAACACTTCTGTAATAAATACATTTAACTTCAGATTAATTAACACAAGATTATATAAACAACATCACACTTCCATTCCTCTTTTAAAAACAATGCCATGATGTGGACCGCTCCATTGACCTAATTACTATTTGTATTGGCTCGAAGGCTTCATCATAATTGTGCAAATACCACATGAGTGTATATTTAGTATATAGCAGTATATTTATGCGTCAGTTCGTAAACGTTTTGTTTGTAAAAGTGTTGTAAATTATAATACAATTCTGCGTAGATGTTGCCCGCGTAATCAAAGGAAAATAGTCTATATATCCATCTCCAACTTCTTAACGATCACTAGATACAAAAAGCACGCTTTAAAAAAGTTCGTACATAAATATAACCATAATTAGGACATTGAATAAACATTATAATGTGTATCAAATAAAATATCTATAAAGATGCCCAACAATCCTCAAATAACTAAAGGCACGGTAACAAGCTTGTGATGCTTCTGGAGTTTCAGGTGCCCAAAGGCGGCGCCGATTGCCTACCATCAGATGATCTGTCCATTAGTTTACCGTCTTAACCGAAAAATAATAATAACAAATACATATTAACTCGTCGAGTACCGGTTTTATAGACACAATTAAAGAACAATAGGTCGCGGTCACCGGTGACCGCTTGGTGTTTGACAGATTAAATAATAACACTACAGAATCCATTCACGCTGAAAGCTATCTAAAGTAATTGAAATCTGTTTGTCTGTACATGAATTCATTATTCATGAATGTAAACAAGTTTTTGTTAGAAGTAGACGGTAACTTCGATAAAAGGTATTTTGATAAATTATGTAAGTTTGTCCTCCCACCCTCTATCTGATATATGGATAGAAATTGTATGAAAGTGATGAATATTGGTAACACAACAATCTATATATATAAAAGAAAGTCGTGTTAGTTACACCACTTATAACTCAAGAACGGCAGAATAGATTTGGCTGAAAATTGGTAGGGAGGTAGCTTAAAGCCAGGAGACCGACATAGGATACTTTTTAACCAATACTTTTTTTTTACTTTTTACCGAAAATCACGAACGGGGACGGGAAAAAATGGGATTACGCGTACGAAGTCGCGGGCAGAAGCTAGTATTAGATAACAACACGTTAGTTTTTTGTTAACAAGATTACGTAGGGATAGATTCCTACGTATACAGGACGATAACTAATAAATTACAGTATTGATGATACAAGAGATACAAGAGGAAGCTGAAAACCAAACATACCTATTAAAAAAATTACATAACATCATGCCTTTTATCCTCAAAGGGGTAGGCAGAGGTGCCCATTATTTCACTGTACAATGTAACACCCACTTTTTACTATTTATGTTATGAGTGCCATGTAATAGGATGTGAGCCTATTGCCATACCGGGCACAATTCCCGACTCTGTGCTACTACTGTCGAAATACAATCGGAATTATAATAAACCAATGTAAGAAGACGTAGTATAAGTATTTTGCTCTATTAATTTGTCTGTGAATTAAAAAAAATTACTTCTAATGAGACGTATAATGTCGTCGTTACCAGGAGGTTTAAGACGTCCACTTATCATGCATTAGCATGCGGGTTCAAAACCTATTAACGGCAAGTACCAATGTGCGTTTTTACAAATTACATGTACTTTCTAAGATTATTTAGACACCACTGACAAACGATGAAAGAAAACATTGAGCTAGCGAGGTGATTAATACTCAAACCTTCTTGCGAGAACAGGCTTTGCTCAGCAGTGAGCATTTTTAGGCAGGCAGGAAAAATTTATAAAAAAAAACTCCATCAATCATTATCGCATGAAGTCAATGATTAAGTAAAAAAAGAATTCACGTCAGCAGTCCACAAAGACAAGAATGGTATTGCAAACATTGCTTCAAAATATGTATACTACTTGCTACTTCCGCGCGGTTTCACACGCTCTGCTCAGCTCCTATTGATCGTAGCGTGGTGTTTTATAGCCTATAGCCATCCTTGATAAATGAGCTATCCAACACAAAAAGAATTATTCAAATCAGACTTGTAAATACGGAGATTAGAGCGTTCAAACAAACAAACAAAAAAAAACAAACTCTTCCTTTTTATATAATAGTATAAGATTACAACACGTAAACGTGTAAACCGCAATAAGCCACGTTAAGCTAAACCAAACTATCTATGTCATATTCTATGTATGTACAGTTGTTTGTTTGTGTACAACATGTCACCGTCACTTGTGTTACGGCTTTGTTAATTACATTAGGCGTAGATCTCTGTCAACACCATACAAACATGTTTAGACAGACATCTTGGCTTATTCGTAAATGTATTAGTTTGTAGTGACAGTTTTCTGTGGCTCTGTTTGATTAAGAAGAGAGAGGCGTGTATTTTCAATCTCAGTTTTTATTGGAAAATAGTTGTTGCCTTTCGCCTCCGCGTAGAATATGAATTTTATTTCAGAACACAATTTTTTTTTGTTTAAATTTTTTCAAAATAAAAGTCTATTTTACTCGTTACATCAGTTACCTGCCAATAAAAGTCTTGCAAAATCGGTCTAGCCATTCTAGATATTAGCTAGTACAAACAGACAGACACACAAAAAATGTTATTTTGGCAAGTGTAGGTATCGTATGTATGTATATTCATACGCATGTAAGAAAAAGCGGTTATTGTAATGTTACAAAACAGACATTATAATTTTATTTTCCTGTATAGATTGAAGGTTTCTTAAATATAGATGAAAGTCTTTTTACTTGTTGTCTTGAAAGTAGATAGCATCTAATCGTCATAATGTTAAGTACAATATCATAAAACAAATTAATCAAAACGAGGTCACATTACTGAAAAATACAAAAAGAATACATAAAACAGTGAATAATAATCATAACACTGTTTCTATTCCACAAAATAATTGATAAATAACTAATAACTAATCTTTACTCTTCCCAACATATTACTATGTGTCTGTACTTCTTTTTAGCATACCTTGAAGTTACTATAAAGCAAAACAAAAATAATTGTTTACAAAAAAAAATTGAGTAAGTACTTCTACCTCGAAAAATTTGTCTTATCTTAAAAATACCTTTTACAAAAGCCCTACAACCTTGTAATAAAAACAGACCTTTCTTTTATACCTAAAATGTATCAGAATTTATACTAAAATCCCTACATTGTGCCTATCGTTACATTGTAATAAGATTGATGTTTCCTTTAGAAGCACTCGTTGAATGCGGAATTTTCATAAAACGCTTTTCCATAATGTGCCGGTTAGGAGTCATTGATGTGTGAACATGATAAATAATATCTCTTATGTGACACGTTTATATGAAAAGCGAATATAATATCGAATGGTTATGTGAGAAACACGATAAGATTTGTAACGCCATCTAGTTGATAAGTGTAACATTAAAAAGTTAAGCGCCATCTATTCAATATTTTCTGTGTGGAACAGAATTATATTTTTGACTGTTACCTTGGTTCATACTTTTGATTTCCCATGAGCATAGAAATTACTTATTTACAATACCTTAATAATACCCTATAACTAACCTTAATAATAATAATACAATAAATTTAACCTAACTACCAACGCCATCTATTACAGGCTCGGTCGAAACTACCAAAGAAACGGCGCAGAGTGCTACCAGTCGAGCAGCCTAGAAGAAAACGCGACGTCAGCGCCTCCAACCGTCGTGTTAATGCCGTGAAACACCCCGTAGTACTGAAGGACCTGCCTCCGGGAGGCAATAAGTTTGGTAAGTTAACTTTGACATCAGTTTTATATCGAAAATAAAGATGGCGCTCTGACAGAGTCATCGTTTCGCAAATTATTGCATTTAAAATAATTTAAACTACTCTTAAAATGCTACAAACTTTTTTTTTTTTGGTTGAGTTCTGCTACATGGCCATCTGTTTTTCAACAATAAGCCACTTGTTTGTCTGATTTCTCAGTTTATGATATGCTACAAACTAATACTGAAATAATCGTCAAGATTGAAATAAAACAGGATTAACAAATGTTACTTAACTGTATTCAAATTGAAATATCAAATTGTTTTTATAATAACTATCGTAAGACATACTAAATTAACTAAAAATCGTGGGTTACTCACGTGAATATACTGTGAAAAACTACTAGTTTCCTACAATAGGCTGCGTGACATCACCGCGACTCCGCACGCTGCTCATGAGGAAGAACCCCTCTGTAGTTCGAAACTAGTAGAGCTATTCTCATTTTTAGTTTAAATACGAAATTATACTGATTCGTGTAGTAACTTAACTTTGCATGTAGAATGAAGCATCTACTAACAAATAAAATCGCAATTCCAGGTGTTAACGGCATGAACATGATCAGCTTGGCACTCCAGGGTCCAACCACAAACCTGCTTCGACCACCAACTACAGCAGCAATGCCTCTTCAAGCAAGGGCACCTATTGGTAAAGCTAACATCATCTTATTTCAACCATAGCTACACAGGATATGTTACTCTTCATCCCGATATAAGCGTGGTAATAAAACCTGCATGCGATAACATCCCGTCTTGCAACCATTCACCAACTTGATTAGTTTCCATATTTTTCATACCAACTTGGTCTGTCACTAAAACCGCTTACATTAATTTACGCTAAAAATAAAACATGTTTATATACTTCTATATTTCCATTAAAAGCAGAACAAAAGCGCCAAACCACTTTTTCTCAATATTATCATGTCTCCTATACAATCTTCCTTCAGTTTCCAAAGCCACTGTAGTAATGAAAACTTCTCTCTTTGCAGTGGAGAGTCCAGTTATCAACACGCAGTCTGGAGCGATCTCGCTAGCGTCTCTTCAACCGCCTCTAATGACCGCCCCGCCCCTGCAACCAAGACCTGCAACTACCGGCTCCTTAGACCTCATGCTGCCATTACAACCCAAGTTACTACCAGGTTTCAACCTACAGTCTTCATTCCTATCAAACACCCTCTCCACAGTACGACCACCAGATATTGATAAAAAAGATGACTTTTATAAACCAAGGATTGAAGTTATTGTAGAAAAAAGAGAAATTGAGGACAGTGACACTGTCGAAGATTCAAATAAAATAGACCAAATAAATGGTTACAGTGAATGTAGCAACCATAATATATCTGAAGTAGTTGATAATGATAATGTGATGAAAGATGAAATTAATTCTAATTTAATAGATACTAATAGTACTGTGACTTCGAATGATAATGATGATAGTCCAAATAACAATTCTTATTAAATGTTAATTGTAAATGTTTCTAGCTGTGAAACCCCAATAGATAACGATGTCTCCCATTAGATTTTATGGAATCTGTAAAATATTGAAATCTCTTTTCTTAGATTTTTCTAGTCAAAATATTTGTGTCAAATCAAGAAATATTAGGGTAAGGTCACTTTATGAAATGATGTCCTTTTTATTTACTGTTGATTGGAATGTAAAGGTGCTATGTGGATGAAAATTTGTATGATTAGAAGAAGATTATTTCAACTACTGAAAGTTCTTAAGCTTCACTTTGAAACTGTTATAGTTCTTGACTCAATCTAAGTTTTATAATTTGAATGCTATTATGTGCAAAAAAATACTTTATGGATCATGTTGACCTTTTAGTAACCAGCTAAATGAAAATCCTTTAAAATATTGATGTTATTTTCATCCATAGAGCATTGTACAATACAATTGTAAACAAAATGTCAGTTTCGCTATGAGCGATCGTCTAAACGACCAAAACTAGTGGTTTTAGCTCGAGTATGAAATATTTTGTATATTTTGTAAATGGAAGACATGACAGTGATTGATAATTGTACATAGACTTCAATGTTTTTTCCTTAAAATATTTTCAGAAAATAAAATAATAATATGTCTGTTTTAAATGTATTTTGCATCCGTTAATAACATCCATAAATCTTCTATGTAATATTGAATAAACTTCTGAGATTTGTATCGTTAACTAATTACGATTTGTCAATTCAAAGTATGAATTGTTAATTTGTGAATAATTTATTCATTTGATACAAAATCAATCAAAATTAATGTTTATGGCAAAATATGTTCATATAATTTTTTTTTTCTATTAATATGTATACCATTTCATGTAACACATTTGAAAAACAAGGGTACTGAATACTGATTTGTATAGTACAATATATTTTACGATCATTCTTTTAATTTGACAATATTGTTTCAATTAAATATACCTTTAGCACACAAGTTAATGTAAAAACATCAACCGTACTTGCCAATGAAAATTTAACTTTAAATTTATCTTTTTGTAAAGAAAAAGCCAAATAATGCCAAAGAACATTTTAAATATCTGTTGTGCCAAACAAACAAATTGTAGATAATTAGTGGTATCTTAGTGTGTAATTAAAGATGGCTGTTTGAAGTTATACTAAGATGTGATTAGGAATGTAAATTAAGCGATAATTATGATGTATATTCCTGATTAGTTGTCGATAAGGTTCATTTTTACTGTGAGCTGGTATGTAAATTGATTCAGTTTTTTTATTATAAGTGTATTCTTATTTTCAAAGTACTAAAATTAGATGGTACATTGTTGAAATTACTGAGGGAATTTCATGAGGATTCCCAGAATATTAAAATGTTTAAAAATCGTGTATGTCATTCCTTGAGTTAAAAAACAAATACTAAGAGATCTTATCCAGAGCGCCTTGAGTTGTTTTCTTAATTTCTGATGGCCTAAGTTAAACTAAGTCATTTTGTATGTATAATGAACCTGCTACTTCCGTGCGGTTTTACTCGCTCTGCTCGGCGCCTTTTAATCGTAGCGTGTTATAATATTTTATAGCCTATAGCCTTCCTCGATAAATGGGCTATCCAACACAGAAAGAATTTTTCAAATAGGACCAGGAATTTCGGAGATTAGTGCGTTCAAACAAACAAACAAAAAACAAACTCTTCAGCTTTATAATATTAGTATAGATAATCATTAACTTTCGTGAGGTATACTAAATTATTTATTATGGTTTTCGTCTTACTCACGAAATCATTTGACGAGGAACTCGACTAGTTTCAAGGTGTGTTAAGGGCTCAATTTTCTTGAGCATTATTCCGCGACCCGCGACGTGGTGACTATCGCGCTACTAGTTTCGAAAAGGTGAGGAAGCAGAAAAATTATTATCATAACGTATTGTTACTAATTTACCAATGGTTACATTATAACGTGTCAGCTCACAGTAAAAATCTTTTTGTATAAAATTCCCTTAACATTGTTAGTTATATACCAAATATTGTTTAGAACTAGAATATTTTTCTAATGTTATTGTTTTTTGATTTAATATTTATTTATGATCAGTTTTATTTTGGCATTTTTCTTTCTTGTGAATTTTAATATGTAAAACATCGATAATATCGATTTTAAAATATGAAATTGTGATATTTCTTAAAAGGAATGATGTTAAAAATATTAAATTAAAATGTATTATTTCTATCGTTTTAGAATGCAAATTCAATTATTAAAAATTTTGACTACTCACCTGTACCCATGATATTGATTTCACACAGATTTCATTTCACGTGTAAATCTGTAAGATTTTTATTTATTTAATAAAGGAAAAAAGCATTTCTCTTAATAGATTAGCTTCTGTTATCATCATACATAGCACATCCAATGCTGAACATAGATAGATGGCCTGATTAAGATCGCAAAGATAAAGATAAAAGATATATTTATTTCTAAGTACATGTTACACTGAGATCTTACATTAAACAATGAAACATATATACTACCATTTCTGGTGTAGAAATATTAAATAAGCTAAGTCCATGCAAATCTTAGACATTACAATAATTTTCATTTGATACAATTATATTGATTAATCTAAACTGAGAACTGCTGGATTCACGTGGCTTTCAACCAGTCTAGAAGTCATTGGGGGAGGCCTACATTAAATATTGTTAGCAGCGGACGTCTGCTATAATAATGATTTCAAAACCATACAAAATAATAGTATGTCCTGTTCACATCTATTTAAATTATTGTGTTTAAGTGAGTGTTCTAACTAACAGATTAAAAAAAACAAAAACGTTGACAATTTCATTCTTTATTCATGTTTATAGTCAATCAAAATTATTTCGAATCATATAGTATAATGTTTACAGTTTACAATTGTTTGGCCAAATTTAAACTGATCAATAACGTTTTTTGTGCCCTATATTTTGTTGTTTAAATAAAATGAAATATAAAACATTTTTTTTGTATTCATTTCATGAAAAACTGCTTTATACACCCTATGATTTTCAGTTATATCAAACCTAGTCTAATACCTATGTCGCGGAGAACCTAACGGGTAACCGGGGCTCCGGCTCGACGTGCAAGAGAAGAAACGGGGTGGTTTTTAGTCAGTAAGATTCTGACTCTCCCTCGCGCCTCACCCAGGCGGGAGCAGTCATTCAATGATTTTCCCCCCTTAAAAAAAAGTCTAATGCCTATAATTAGATGCTTATAGCTAACAACGTGTTGTGAGTTTGATTCTTACACGGAAAAAATAAAATGTCTATAAACTAAGTAACAAAACGCAAAAGCAAAATCATTTCATATGTCAAGATTGCATAGAATAAGAACATTAATATTAGTAAGTTGAGCAATGAGTGTATGTACAAAAATCAGTAACTACGCGTGTAAAATAAATTAGAAAAGTTCACACGTCTGCTCGATAGATGGTGCTGTATAGAAGGTTTAGTTTTTTACATTCGCGCTCTGGTTTCATTACATGCGTTTGGTTAGATTCATGACAGTGAAATGTAGACTCAATTCTGTGGTTACTCTTTGTAAAAATTTTGCATTAATATTTAGTGTAAGCCTAGACATTTTTATGTTCCTAGTGCATTACAATATAATTATGTGTCTTATACATAATTATACTGAAATATTATTCATTATTTACATCATGTCTTGGTAATTTAACATCTTTCAAATTATTAACACTGTTTTGCATATTTATTTTATTTTTATTGTCGGGTTTGTTAACACGTATGGTTAATTTGAATAAAAGCTAAAATACTTAATTCAAATGCAAATATTAACATGATCATGAAAAGCTGTGAATGTAAAAAACACAACGTGTGACAATAACATTGTAGATAATTGTATATGCTACAGTTTTCAATTTATTCGATAGATGGCGATACTTACCTACATGAATTGTAAAAGTTTTATTTGAGAGTATACCTAATCCTAAATACACAGTACAATCGAATTACAATTGCACTTACATTTATAAATCAGAATTCGACGAAAAATATAACTGAGTCACAATACTTAGTAAATAACAAAAAATAACTAAGTTAACACATATTTATAAAAATGTCTAGGCTTTTGCTCCTGACATTTATCAAAACGTACGATAATAATCAAGACATGCTACCACAAAAGTAATAATTTACTTATAATTTTTATTGGGGCACAGAAGTTCTTGATACAGTTAAGCACCGTAACTAAACGTATGTAACAAACCATAGCACGATCTAGCTGAGAGCAAACATTGTACAACGCCATCTATCGAACCAAGGCAAAAACTTGACACTATGGGTACTAAACATTTTGGAACGTGTTTATTTCTTGAAGCAAACGTGCTTAAGTATATAAAATAACACACAATAGGGATGATGAAAGGGTATGAAAATTAAAAATGTAATTAGTCCGTCAGTTAGGTAATGAAAAAACATTAGTAAATTTTTATTTGTAGTATAAAAAATAGATACTTAGATATAACGAATCAAAGTTTAGGAGTGGGGGCTAAAACGTCATTTCTATGTATAAAATGTAGGAGTCTACATAGAAGTGACGTCACGCGACATTTCAAATCAATATATATTCGAAACCATTCGTTTCCGTAAAGAAATTAAAAATACGTGTCTAATGTTTTTAAGATATCCACCAAACACCGAACTAAAATAAAAATTAGTCATCTATCCAATAGGACAGCCATAAATAAAAGTACTACTTTTTATACCTCTATGTATGTAAAGGTACAGCGTTAGTTTGTTTCCTATTTTGAACGCGGTTATCTCCGTAGCTAGTAGTTTGAATAGCATAAGTATCTTTGTGTTGGTTATTCTATTAATCCTACGTCGAGTTGGCCCGGAGGTTTAAGACGCCCGCTTCTCATACATGGGGGCGGGCGTGAGTTCAAACCATATCAACGGCGTTACCAAAGTGATTTTTCCGAGTTACACGTACTTTCTAAGATTATTTAGACACCACTGACAAACGGTGAAGG